TCTGAATACTTATACAGAAGGCTTACCATTATGTTCAATTATCTGGCATGCTTTCGTTTTGGCGCCTGAGAGCGGCAGGCGAGTTCATCATTTTTGCCTTCATTGATGCGGACTCTGCTAGTCAAAGCTTTTTCTATGCGATGTGCGGGGAATTCTCGTTGCCACTTCGATAAATTAAATGAAGAACGAAGTTTAGTCTTTGTAAATGTGCTTTCATTTCAAACTTTGTGACAGATGGAGTTTGGTATGGCTTTCAAAATGCACCTTAACTTATTCAGGTAGTAAGTTCCCACGTGACCACGCGCACAATGTTACGTAGTCATTCACTTTGCATCTGCAGGCAAAGTGCTAGAAAAGCTACCTGTAACTCGGCACGAATAGTAGCGACAAGGGTGTAAAATATCCAGGAGACGATCATAAAATATCACTCGCTTTCAAGAGCAATTGGTTATACCCATTGACCAAGTCGAGTGCACTGTACATTGTACAGCCAACTATATTATTTTAGGGGACATTTTTCCTAGAATCGGCGTCTGTGCCGGATAAGTGGCAGCGTTTAGCTGATTGGAAGCGTGAACGATACGTCACTTGCCATTCATCTAATGGGTGTCAAATGGGGAGACTTGCTCCCACAAACCATTTCTGCATCATTCTTTGCACGGAAAAGGCGTCAATGATGTCACACTGCTCCTTGGGCAAGGGCAATTGGCGTGTTACGCAGTATTTGGTTCCCGGAACAAGGTCGATCTCATGACGCACACCTCAGTCCGGAGGTACCGACGGTGGGTCTTTGGAGACGACGTCTTGATACTCCTTCACCAAAGGATAGTACGAATCTGAAGGTTCCTTCAAGATCGACTATCCACTTCGTGTGCTCAGCATCTTCTTGGTGTCTTCCAGGACAGCTTTTCATCCAGAAGCGACGATGAGTCAATCTCTTCGTTTGGTCGTATAATGACCACATCGGCTAAATTGCCTGCCTTCAGGGCCACGCCAAACTCTTCGAAGGGCATTTCGTTCAGCTCAAGCATAGCATCCTCCGCGTAAACAGCCTCGAGGTCGATATAGCCGTCTCTCTCTTCCGTCAAACCGTTGACAAGGGTGTATAGCTGTGCGCTGTCGTCTACGGTAAACACACTCCGGGTCAGGTTCGACGCCCTGCGACTTGCAGATAACATACGGCATCGCCGTCTCCTCTCTTAAAAGATTTTAGGTCTCATCAAGACCAGTGGGAACACGCACTCAGCGTCGTCCAGTGTCGCCACTCCCTGCTCCATCGGAGCCTCGATGTTATAAGCAACATCCGACGAAGGACTGCTACTTCCGCAGTCTTCGTCTTGTGGACAACGTGCCACTCCACACGCATCAGAAGGGCCTTGTTCAAGATGCCTCGGACCTCGTCCGACCATGTCACTCTTGGCATGCAGCAACTGCTTTGAGGCGTGAGCAGTGCTCAGTGGATTACGTGTCACTCTACGCGCATCAGCAGGACCTTGCTCGAGATGCCTCAATCCTCGTCCGACCATGTCACTCTTGGCATGCAGCAACTCCTTCGTAACGTGAGAAGTGCCCAGTGAATTACGTGCCACCCCACGTGCATTAATGGGGTATGAAAATCGATGCCTCGGCCCTTGCCAACCATGCCACTCTTGGCATGCAGCAACTACTTTGATATTTGAGCAGCGCTCATTGGGTTACGTGCAGCTCCACGTTCAGCCTGCAAGCCATGCTTGGCACTTCTGCCCAATACACCTTTGTTCGACAACTCGGATACTCCGATATTCAGCACATTGACCAGTGCCTGCGCCAATAGCGCTTCTGCTTCCTAGCATAGGTGGGTTCATGACTCACCAAAGCCCCCCCGGGAGGCGTGCGCGTAGCGCCCAAGGACTTTGACCTCCAATCAATTCATGGCTTATGGTGATTCAACCTTGCCATACCAAGGAAAAGGTCATCCCTTGCATCGAAGTCTAAGACTAATCAGCGTTCCACGCCATCGAAGTCAAGAAACTTGACACCAATCTCCACAGGGGCCCTCGGCACAGTGACACAAGTCCCCGTCGCTTAGCAAACAGTGACGGTGTTACTCAGCCGCGCTTCCAGCGCCTCGGCATACAGCTGACTTCAATCGATGAGGATCTTCCATAGCTTCACAAAGCTCTTCATGGTCGTTTTTACTACCAGCAAGCCTGGCTTGCATGCACGTTCTGTGTTCAAGAGTACGGAGCTCTCTGGGGCTGTGCTCTGCTGCCCTCTACCTCTTTGAGGTTCAGCAGAATTCAGTTCTCCCCCAGTAGGGCACCCCTCGCCTACCGGGGTTTCTAATTTCCCCGCGACAAACCAGACTGATTAGATGCGGGGTCGTCGGCTCAACGAGCCTTTACGTCCTTGCGCAGAGGACAATCAGTCCGAAGGTGACGGGTGTCTCCACAGACAAAACACCGTCGGGTGCTTAAACGCTGCTTGTCAGTTCGAAGCCTCCCCCCTCTTT